CCCCCCCCTTCATGCAGAGGGTGGTGGGGTTTGTCCATGATGGCTGTCAGCTTTGCCAACACATTGTTAACTTTGTTTTACTGAAATGTGCATCAAATGAGCTGCAGTTTGTGTAAAGAACACTGATATGAGATATGAAACATAACTCATTAACTTCTGCCAGACATGGTGAATAAGTTGTTCTGTAGGTTCATATATTTGTAAATCTGATTCTGATGAACTGAGTGCCTCACCATTCATGAACCTCACCATACATCACTGGTGTACACTAATAATGAAACCTGCAGCAGCAAAGGAATGACACTGGTGAAATATGCAGATGACATGACTTTGGTGGCTCACTTGACTGACACATCTGCACTCATCAGATATGAGCAGGTAGTAAATAACCTGGTCCGAACCTTTGCAGAGGACTCCTTAGCCCTAAATGTCACCAAAACTAAGGAGCTTTGCTGYACAGGCAGGGGTAAATATGTAACAGTTTCCTTAAGCCCTTGATCATTCAAGACCAAGCAGTGTAGCAGGTTGAGTGTTTTAAATATCTCAGCAAAATGGACAGTAGCCTTTCCTTCTCCAAGCATGTCAGCAACATTTACAAAAAAGCCTCACCAATGCCTCCGCCTCCTGAGGAAACTAAAAGCATTCCATATCAGTAAAAATATTTTGGAACTGGTCTACAGGTCATTGATCGAATCCATCCTCATTTTTAATATTTCAAGCTGGTATAGTTTAATTACAATGAAACAAAAAAAACTATCAACAAACTGACTGTGGACAGTTGCAACATTGTTTGGGGGTGGTTGCAACATATTATTAATACAATACATTTCACTGTAAATAAAAGTTTTATTATTTTTATATTTATATTATTGCTAAATGTATAAGAACTGTAAGTTATAATGATATTACAGTGTTATTTATTTATTGTTTGTGATCAAATAACGAATATAAATTGGCCTTGATGAGTAGACCTTTCATACAGATGTCAAAGACTCTAATTGATGTAAAACACAGTTGGCTTTTTGAGACAAGAATTATAGAACAGTTTGTGAGGCAATTAACTTTTGTTTTGCCTATTGTCACTGTACGCCTACATTATGCAAAATTTACATTGAAAGAAACTGGGATTTTAAAACCATTGTTGAAAACAACAACTGCAGAAAATACATCTTAAACACTTTTATGTTTTAAACTATACAATTGCCATGAATACCCTTTTAAG